GCCTCCTCAACAATTTCGAACAGTGCCAATTTGACCACCTCAGCGGCGTCGTCTACCATTTCGAAGAGTGCCAATCTGACCACATCCGCCTCTTCTACGATCTCCAACAGCGCCAACTTGACAACATCTGCCACTTCGTCGGGTTTCTCAAATAGTGCCAATCTGACAACCTCCGGTGCTTCTTCAACCATCACCAACAGCGCGAACCTTACGTCTACCGCGAGCACCACATTGAATGCGACCAGCTCCAAGGCCTGTACCACCGCAGCAAGTCCTACCGCTAGCTGCGTCCCTTGCGATGGTCAGGGAGGAAGCCTGCCTTATTGCGGTGCCGACATCAGCACGAATTACTACAATTTTACCCCGAAGACATGCAACACGGTCACCTATAATTTCGACATCACGAATACCACGGCGTCGCCGGATGGAATTGAGAGAATCGTCCTGCTTGTGAATGGTCAACTGCCCGGTCCTACTATTGAAGCTAACTGGGGTGATACTATCGTCGTCACAGTCAACAACAAGCTACAGAATAACGGTACTAGCATTCACTTCCACGGAATGCGTCAAAACTACACCAACGAGTATGATGGAGTTCCATCCATCACGCAATGTCCCATTGCGCCTGGCGAGTCAATGACCTATACTTTCATTGCAAGCAACTACGGTACATCGTGGTATCACTCGCATTTCGCCATCCAAGCTTGGGAAGGTGTCTTTGGCCCCATGATCATTCACGGCCCTACTACCCAGGATTTCGATGTTGATGCCGGTACTATCATGCTTCAAGATTGGACGCACGTGCCTGTTGACGAAATGTACGACGCTGCGGAAGACGCTGTTAACGGTGGACCTCGCACGATGGACAATGGCCTCATCAACGGTGTGAACACTTGGGGCGCTGATGGAACAAGCAACCAGACCGGTTCACGTTTTGAGTTGTCAACAAAGTTTACCTCCGGGCAGACCTATCTCCTCCGTATTATCAATGCCGCGATCCAGTCTACCTACAAGTTTTACCTGGATGGCCACTCGTTCACGGTTATCTCCATGGATTATGTGCCGATAACGCCATACAAGACGAACATCTTGAACATCAACATTGGTATGTTACTGCTTTAAAAGAAACTTATTTTCAATGCTAACGACGTCTTAGGTCAACGTTACATGGTTATTGTCGAGGCCGACCAGCCTGTCGGTAACTACTGGTTGAGAGCAGATAACCAGGACGCGTGCGCTTCCACCACACAAGCTCTTGATATCAAGGGCATCGTCCGATACGATGGGAGTAACGGGACCACGCCAACTACAACGGCCTACAACTATACCGGTGAATGTGTTGACGAGCCGTACGCAAGCTTGGTTCCATACGTGTCTCTGGATGCAAGCGATGAAGATGAAGAAGACGAGTACGATATCACGATCTCAGCTAACAGTGCCAATCTCTTCAAATGGTATCTGTCGGGCACTACCTTCCAATCTCAGTATGACAACCCAACACTCTACCAGTACTATCAGAACGGATCGGCCCCGACATACAGCGGCAATCTCATCTTGGATCTTCCTAACGCAGGTGAATGGGTCTATATCATTGTCGAGAGCAGTGTCCCTCTTCCGCATCCCATCCACTTGCACGGTCACGACTTCTTCGTCCTCGCTGAGGGCAACGGGACCTACGACGACAGCGTGACCCTGAAGCTCAGCAATCCTCCCCGTCGTGACACCGCTCTCTTGCCAGCGGCTGGCTACATTGTTCTCGCCTTCCAGACAGACAACCCAGGTGCTTGGCTTATGCATTGCCATATTGGCTGGCACACGTCCATGGGCTTCGCGCTGCAGTTCCTAGAGATGAAGTCGAAGATTAAGGGTACCATCACTGACTCGTGCGTCCTAACTGGCACTTGTGACTCGTGGAATGACTACGCGACAGCGAACAACATCGAAGTGGAGGACTCTGGTGTTTAATTTGAGCATTTCTCAGCGGGCATGTGGAGACGTTTTCTTTGCACTATGTTTGTGTTAAAAACCAAAACTTAATGCCATAATACCATGGTCCGCGCAATGAGCGGGACTGGCGATGAAATGGAGTCTAAGGCCTCGAAGCGACGTTTTGCTGGGCTAATGGGATATATCCTTCAGAAACCTTTTGGGTGTAAATAATACTATGAATTGAAAGCCTTGGGCTAGTTTTTGTGTATGGGATTTAGATTTTCCTGAGAGATAACCATTCCTGTTGTTGTGAGGGTTTGAGAGGTTCCGGGTCCCCGTAATGCTGCCTTGCTTTCGGCGATGATGAGTGGAGGTAGCTCGAGTCGATAGAACGGACCACGAATCCTCGAAACACGCCTCAAATCTCTACGAGAAAAGTGAATTGAACCTGGAAACTTAACACTGCACTGAGTTCCTTAAACAGTATCAAAAGAAGGGTAGAAATACATCACTACTATGCCGGCTGCTCGAGGTTGCGTACTTATATGTACAGAACGCGCAGGTTTGAGCAGAATACATGAATAATCATGTTGGAAGGCGATCTCAGCCAGAAGCACGAAATGAAGACGGTCTAACATGGAGATGATGACCCTGAGCCGATTTGCCCCAAGTGAATTGAACCCTGCCAAGCAAACCCCCATGCACGAGCCACGTGGATTATTCCAACCTCAGCCTCCTTCGGTCTGACACCATGTCCACACCACGAAACCCACACTCCTCCTCCTACCCTCCCTTCCAAGCATGCCCGTCCAGGCGTAATGAATCGCCCCTTCACCAAAGCCGGGAACCCCTTCAAGCCCGCCTTCTCTTACCTCTCCAGTTCAAGCTCCGACTCGCGTCCGTCCTCGAAACGTTCTGGGCACCGCTCGCAAGCCTCCACCTCCCCCAATGACCCCTCCGCCGACCTCGACTCCGACCTCGAGAATCAGAACCAGGGCAACATGTCCCGCCACTCCTCCCACAGCTCGAGCCAATCCTTCTCCGGCCTCGCGCCCGGTCCTATACCCCTGATCGATATCTCGCGCTCCCCCTCGCCGTACCCGCGGAGTCGTAGCGCAGCGCAGAGCGAGGACGAGGACGACGATGACTTCGAGCCCGCGAGCTCGATACGGCCGCTCGTCGCGTCGGACATTGGCAGCGGGGGCCGGGGAAGTGGTAGATGGAAAAGCGTGTTCAGGGCCGGAGGGTTGGGGGGCTTTTTCTTTGGGACGTGGATGGGGTGGCAGGTTTATGTGGGGTTGTTGGTTTTCTGGGTTGGGGGGTGTGGGTTTGGATTGTTGTTGATGAATCGGTTTATCATGTTGAGTAAGTGGGGAAGCTTTATGCCTGTTTTCAATGGGGTTTGGAAGGGGATTGTGCTAATGTCATGTTCAGCGGGAGTGTATAAGTTTGTATATCCATTGACGGCGACGTATCTGCAACTTTCCATCACGCATCTCCTCCTCCTTGGTTCTGCGAGCTTAAGCAGAGGCATTGCGCGGCCGCTTAGAAAGATTGGGTTGGGTGCTGCTGTCGCGCCTTCTACACCGGCCTCTCCTCCGGGCGGGGGTAGATTCAGGGACTCGAATAAGAGCAGGATACCTTTCATACAGTTCGGACGGTGGTTGTCCACTGGGACAGGAGGCATCGCAGGAGGAGGTATATTCGAGTTCGATAGACAGGTTGCGAAACAGGTGCTACCATTAGCTGTGGTATATGTTGCGAAGGTTGTTTTGAGCAACCTCTCATTTGCGTAAGGCCACACTTACTCTTCGGCTTATTACATAATACTAACAATTAACGCTAGCTATGCCGTCCTTCCAATGTACCAAATCGCCCGAATCGGCGTCGTTCCCCTGTCCCTCATAATCTCGGCCTTCCTCCAACGCGAGCAACACTCCATCTCGACACTCTCCTCCTCTCTCGTCGCCACCCTCAACCTCCTCCTCGCCAGCATCCGCCCCGGCGTCCGCGTCACCTGGGAAAGCATCGTCGCCGGCGTCTTCTCCTCTTTTTTTGTGGCACTATACCCCATCCTCCTCCTCCGCACCTACCGCGCCCTTGTCGCTGGCCTCGTCCCTCAAGGCGACATTCTAACCGGCTATCCCTCCACCACCGCTGACGAATCCACCAGCAACCGCGAGGAAACCCGCGCCTATTGGCGCACGCTCCACTATACCTCTCTCATTTCCCTTATCATTCTGACGCCCCTCGTCCTTCTCTCGGGCGAGGTCGGGAATATCCTGCATAACTGCTACATTCTTGACGTGCCGTTCTTCTGGCTGCTGGTCGTGTGCGGCGGGATAGGTAGCTGGGCCGTCTTCGCTTCAACACTCTTACTGGCTAAAGCAACGAGTCCCCTCACCGCCACGTTTGTTGCTGTTCCGCGGTCGGCGTTCCAATTGGTTGTCCTGAGCCATTTCCATATCCCGATTCATTCGTGGGTCGGTGTGGCGCTGTGCTGGGTTAGTAGCGTGTGGTTTTCGGTTGCACGGAGGGATGAAGGCCGAACGCTGGATCGGCTGAGGTTGGAGGGGAGGTGATCCAATCGGATTGGGAGTAATGCATCATTTACTTAAGGGATATCCTGGAAGAGTCGGGCATTTGGTGATGGGCATGTGGTAGCGATTAGCGTGGAATACACTGACGAGTCATATGTCTGTGTACGCTTGTCTGCTGATGCTAGGGGTGCTTTGATGCGGTGTGAAGGTTCCGGATGTGATGTGTGATTCGGCAGGGCGCGATTCGAGAAGAGTATGGAGTGCTCGTGATACACCGGTGAGTTGTCCGATCCACCTCAGGGACCATAATCAAGAGCGGGATTTTGTCCCGTCTGTAGTAGACGTATTGACAACATCGAGGAGCTCCAGCAGTGGCATGTGAGTCTACACAAACCTATCACAGAGCCTCCTAATTATGTACCGTTCCGCACTCCACTAAGAGGCTCCAAAGTATCCCAATCACCCTACCTCGTTAGTCACAGGCCTGTGTATACGTATCTACCTCTACTCGAAGTCTCTCTATGCATCTATAGGAACCTTCTCCGGAACAGCCAGTTAGCTTGCTGAACTACCCAGAAATCTTTAAAAGGAGTGTACGCAGACCGGATCTGCCTCTCATTGCCCTAGGTTTCTGTGAGTGCGTTTGATGCATCGCAAGCAGTTGCAGAATTATGTGTAATACTCGATGACGAGCCACTGCGGGACCATACCGCCCCTTAATCCCCCGAGCTCATAGTCACAAGCCGCCGAGATAGGGGTGGACGCCTCGCTCCCGATCTTCCCCGACCACACGGTCTTTCTGTGCTACGATACGCTGGCGTCGCCGCTCCGAGGGCCGGAAGCATGTGAGAATGGGCGCTGGTGGGTGGGTATATTAGAAGGGGAGGGTGCCGCCGTTGAGAAGTATGGAGCAGGAGCAGGAAGTTGGGGGATGGGAAGGGGAAAGAGAGGAAACTAGTTGGAGAAGGAGTGGTACGGGGTTGTGGTTTGAAGACGAGGGCTTGGATGGAAACATGGAGGAGGGGAGGGGGAGAGAGAGGGGTGTGAAAAACCTGCCAATTTCAGTCCATCGCTAGAAAAGTCTTGGAGAAGTAGAAAGTCATGGCTAGCTGGGACCAGAAAATGCCTAGGTTGTGTGCCATGTCTTTGGGGGAGTGGAGCTTGATCCAGGAGGTCCTATCAACAGCACACGGCCGCACATTCTGGTATGGAAGTGGAGGTATTCCTCGGTGGTGCAAATATAAGACAGAACCTCTGTCCATTATGGAAGACTAAACCTGTACCGACTTATTTCAGGAGTCGAGGGCTGAAACGCTCTACGGGCAACCCTGTCTCGTAAGAGCAAATCATGGGGCAGCTCCAATCACACCTTTCATTCGGCTATGGCACCTCGCGAGTGGATTCGGGGTGTTTTGCCTGCTGGGAATATACGACACTCAGGCGCCTGTCTATGGTCTGGAGTCTCTACATCTAACCACTCAAATTCTTCCCATGTTGAGTCGCTGGAACCAACTTCGAAAAATCAGGTCGAGCATCTCGATGGCGTGTGCCGTGTCGGCTTTGTGGATGTCGTCCGGCTATGGACGATTTCTCCAGCTCCATGGCAGCCGGCGATGGTTCACTCGCAGTGCGTGGGAAGTCTTAGTGGCGTCCTAACCCTTTGTCACGTAATCTATGTTTCTTAGATTCAAAATCCAGGCCTTTCCGTTCAATTGGGGAGCTGGGAGACTGCGTCGTATCATTAACCACAGCCCAACTGGGTATACATGCTCTCAGGATTCGCAAGCCTTTGCAAGATGGTAAGGTGCCAGCAGATGGGGAAAAGTCGCGGAGTGTTCTCGGTGGCATCGAGCCGAGACTCTCAGAGTACATTATTTGATATGGAACTCCTGATTCAAAATGCTGCGTGGGCGCTTGGAAGACCGCTCCGAAATAATTATGTCACCTTGTTGATGTCCTCCTGAATTTCTTCCAAAAAGAATATAACACAACTACATGGTCTGTTCTTTGGTGACATTCAGCTTCCAACGAACGTCCCATGGCTCCCATCTTGGTCTCTTAGCAGCAGCAAATGATGAGCAAACCTCTGAGCCGACTGGCAAAACTCTAAAGGTTCTCATCCCATGAGATCCTTGGGAATATTGGGGTTGCGGGCCAAATTTCGAAATCGTCGACATTAGGGGAACATCTTCAAATGCATTAACGCAACTACTCGATGTCCGGTGTGTCTATCAGTCGCAACCAAGCAGACATAGACTATGGCAGAAACTCCCTCTGGACGACATGGTTTATGGTACCCTCGAGGTCGTCTCCCGGTTCAGAAATGCTGTGCGAGTGAACCTAATGTGGAGACAGATACTTGCAGTACTACATATGGATGTTACTGAGATATGGAACGTTAGCAAAAGCCGGCAAAATACATTGGCATGGCTCGCACCTGTGTGGGCAAGACTGTATCCGCTCTGCCCTGAGCATGTATCCCTCGAATCAGAAGGTAAAGATGTTGATGGCAGCGGCCTATTTGGGTACCTTATGATTTGCCGTCGAGTATCAAGAGGCGATACATTGAATATCCCATGTCTTGAGTATTAGCCAACCAGAACTCCCATACCGCGTGAGTCATGGTCCAGACCAATAATACTCCAGCTTGAGGAATAGCATCTTCTTTGGCATGCCAGAATGCTATGCTTGCTAGGACTGTAGAGGTGTCTGCGACTCCCAAAGTCAAAGTTGTGTTTGCTACCGCTGAATGTGCGGAGATACTTGTAGTGATTCAAATTCGTCTCCACTATAAGTGGTTCAACACCAATTACCCGTGAGACTGAGAGTTGTTTGTGAGAAATACTTACGCCTTCAACCAATGTCCATGTAGAAGAAGGAGCAGCCATGATTACCCCTACCAACGCTGAAAAGGAGAAACCTATGCGCAGTGCAGTGCACCCTCTTGAGCAACCAACTAAGACCATTACCGGGTCCTGGACTATGTCGGCAGCCCGCGTGCTGAGTGGAAAATTGGGAACAGAAATGATGGAATTAGAGTCTTGGGGCCACATCGATCGCTATACTGCTTTTATAAGTGGAGAAACTGTTCGGTAGCATCTAACCCCAAGCCGTGAACAGAAGCACAGGAGAAACATACAATGACCCCGTTTTCCTATGGAGGTCGCGTACATTGCGTGCCAAAATTCTTCGCGGATGAACGTGAAAATGGGTTAGCCTGACCAAACAGCCCACGAAACACTATCGATGGTAGGAGCAAAAGCCAGCTGCTCGAATGTTAGAGATGGCGGAGTATATTCAGTCCGCCCTGTCATTAACAACACGAAACTTTAATGACAAATGTTGCTGTCCGCGTCCCAGAATCGAGCCTTCTAGCGGATCAGACACTGAGGGGCGTGCGGTCAATTTGGTGACAAAGCAAAAATACTCCACGACATCTATAGAACGGCGGAGGAGAGAGCTTTCGAGCGTTACACTCGTAAAAGACGTTGACAGCGATACCTAGGTAGCGATGTCCGATCGAGCGTCAGGTTGGGCAGAATAGGGTTTTGCCGGGCTTCGCGTTAGGCACAAGCTAGCCGCTCAAAAAGCCTTCTAAGAGCACTACATCTCAGGTTGGCCTCGCCGAACGGAAAGGACAGCTAGTAAAGCAACCCATGTTGCGTTGTGCGTCTAAAAGCCAACTGTAACTTCAAGTATCGTCAAAAGCGGCGACGAAATCTTGAAACACCTTGAAATCAACGCCAAGAGTGACCTACATGGTCGGTTGGCCTGGGCAGGCACCCCATAAACCTCCCTACTAGAACGGAGTGTTGGGAGCAGATGCTAGCTGCTCCAAAAACCATATCTATTCAGGCCATGTTTTGCTGGCTTTGCGCAAAAAATTCGACCACACTGAATCGCCATGTTGCGGTCTGAATCCAGGAATAAAGATCCAAGCACATCCCCGTGTGGAGAACCTGGTTGCATCTGACTCCGAGCTAATAACGAAACTTGTCTAGTGATGATTACGGGTTCGGAAGTCATGTGAGAGGCCGTCGGGTGAGATGAGTTTTGAGCTCTCAAAAGCATTCAAGGTCAATCGTGATGTTTGGTTGGCGTCGGCTGATCAGCTTTAGCATAGAGAAAGTTCATATAGGTATCAGGGAATTCCCACTAGCCTTGGAGCGGGCAGTGCTTGGCTGGCCTTTTCGACATGAAGAACAGACATTTGCCATGTTTCCGCAGTCTTGCCTAAAATATTTCAGCGTCTGGACATATGGAGGACGGACCGCGGGCCAACTTGACCAGTCCACAACTCCCAGGATCCCAACAAATGTGAGCATCTTTCTGGTGATCGACTCGGACTTCGAACGACCGCAATGTATTCCGAAACCATGACCTCTGTATTCCATTCAGCTCAAAATGTGAAACCCAGCAAGAGCGTGCATTATGTACGAGCAAGCATCGCCACCAATACTAGCAAAGCCCGATGTGAGATTACAGTTGACAAGTACTCGTCAACTACCGCTCCCCAGTCACGTAAGAGGACCGTTAGTCACATCGCCGAGCCCACTACGAAATGGGTATTTCAGCAGACCACCCTTGAGGAACTTCTCTAGCCACACAGGGCGATCGCCGCTATCACTAATCCTGAGTTGGGGCATCTATGTATGGTGGCATGCTGCGGTCAGAGACTAACAACGAACATGCCGGGACTTCTATGAGTCTGAGGCCTCGTCGCTGTCTAGGGAACATGTTGCCGGAAAATAACACGTGGTACTGACATGTATGGGCCAGCCTTACGGAACCCACGAGTCGAACCGGTCATGGAGAACGACCAGCCGGTAGAAGTTCTCAAAGCGGTCCATGTCAAATGCCATGTGGGCGGAGTATCCAAGTGGCCTAAACCAACTACCCCCATTGCTCATGAGAAGTAGTGAGGGTATTTACTCTTTGACGTGCAAAACCATCTGCACAGGATAAGCATGGACGCTCGGTCCAGATCGAAAATCACACTCACACTGACGCTGGCAATGTGGAGTTCCAATGCTGGAGACCTCAACATCTCATGAACATCGGAAAACTGATCTCGCGATAGAGTTTGGTACCTTCTCTTGGTGTGAAATATGGCAGGAGATCTGGAAATAGTATTAAGATCGGATCATGTGGTCGAGTCGTTGGGTCAACTATCGCAAGCAGAAATTAGTATAGTTACGTTTCCATGACGAACTGAAGCACGTACGTATTTCTTTTATGATATTCTGACTCCGCGTGCACCTCTTCTGCCTTGCAACCGTTTCGCTCGTTGTGACCTTTGTGTGATTAAAACAATAGTCTGAGTAGATTTGCCGCGAGGCTGTGAAACCCTCGCCGCTGCTTGAGTGGCTTCCACACCTTTTTGAACTTTTAAGTGCAACGTGAACTCCGTGACGCCAGAATCTGAAACTAATTCCCGGGATTCTGGATCTACTGGGTGATGACTTGGGCTACTTAGACAATAACGTCCGGTAACCAAGAGAGTATCAAAGGAGTGGGAAATGAACCCTGAGAAAGTACAATGGTGAAAGATGTGACTTTAGATTGACTTCGATAAAAAGTAGACCTCAGAGAAGAGATTCTTAACCGCCCTGCCGCAATGCGCAGCCATATTCCCCCCAATGCATTGCCATCAACGCCGCAAGAATGTCTAATGCGCATTCTGCCCAGCCCCAATAGCTCATTGGAAGATGACGAAGACTCAATGGTACGAAAATCCGTGCAGAAAAAAGAATGCAATTGGTATATAAACACGCCCAAAAAAAAGAACGCCAACAATGCATTCAAACCAAACCATTGCTCATTCCAAGACTGCGTTTCTCATTCACTTCGTGTTTCATCGGGCCCGGTATGTTACCAAGCCCCTCCCTCCTAGTATGATCTCAAAAGAACCCCCCAGGCGACTTGTCGCGCTCGTAGAAAACGATATAAGCGTTCTCGTTCTGCAATCGGCTCGAGGTGGACGAACGAGTAGGGTCAAAATCCGTGGCCTTTTCGTCGTTGAACTCACGCCAGACGCCCTTGCCTTTGTCTTTCACTAGTGCAGTGTAATGCCCGCTGCTTAGTGTGTTGCCCATATGTCGGATGACTCCGTACGCGTTGTAAACATAAGGGCCGTTCATGGCGGAGTCTGCTTTCAACTCGGCAAGATTGTGTGCGCCTGCATTTGCATGGGCGATGATGTAGTCCTCTTCCTCCGGCTTGAGGGGTGGAAGCGTGAAAGGCGCGAGATCCAGTCCATGAAGCGGGAATTCTATGGGCGTGCGAACTTTACGTGCCCTTTCAGTGTGAGATGCGCTAAAGCGTTTGAAATGGATGACCAAGAACTCGGGGGCTCGCGTGATTGTGAGTTTTTTCGTAGCTTCGCGGTCCACTTTGCATCTCGGACACTTCCAAACTTCGTCGCCAGATAATCGTTCCTGCGCACAATAGGACCGTAGGCAGTCTCTTAAGTCTGCGGGTCGATCTTTCGGTATCTCGACACTGATACTCCAGAATGCCTCATATGTCGTGCTCGTAGTCCCACAGACTGTGCAGCTGAGTTGTGATGCGTGTTGACCGGCAAACATATCTCCAACTACCGACTGCTCGCGATGGGTATAACGACGCCATTCAATCTTGGCCGCATAAGGCCTCGGAAGGGCCTCACGAGCTAACTCGTCGGCTGGGGTAAGCTGATGGAGCGGAGGTTTCGCCCACACGGTATTCAAATCCTCGTGAAAAGAATCCAGAACAAATTCTAGGAATTCTTTAGCGTCTTGCTGTCGGTCGATACCCCACTCCGAGTTGAATCGTGCGCAGATTTTCTGCGAAATGGTTAGCTCTCCGTATGGATGACTTTATGCTGAGAAAATGAAGGACTTACCCTGAAAGAAGATGGCCGAATCGGTCTATGATCTTTCCCCCACAGGTTCTGCACAAGTGTCGCGAAGGTTTCAGACATCAATCCCCTCGTTCCTTTCCAGTTCTCCCGCTGTATCAACTTTAAGTATCCGTTGCTCAGGAACAACTGGGTAAGTGGGCTTGTAGCGTTCAGACACTGAATTGTTGAATTCATGTAGCATGTTACGCCGAAATTGTGGAGCCCCGTCTTGGGAAGCCTGTATTGTGGATGGTAGCTTGGTGACACGTATGCTGGAAGCTGAGTAACCCGGCCCTGAGGGGCAACTTGTCGCTCGTGAACTCCACTGTAGCTTACTCGAGGTACAGATGGAGGTGGTCGTGAAGGCACCGAGGGAATAGCGGGAGTGGTATAGGTGTTTGGAACCGGCTTCCGAGAGGGAGGATATATCATAGACTGATGCTCTATTTCGGCCGGATCAGGGTAACGACGTAGGAAATCGTCAGTGGTGCGATAGATCGGTGATTCTGTTTCTTCCTCGCCGATGTTGTCCATAGATTGCCTCTCGAGGGCGGGTCTGTCTCTTCGCGCTTCCTCCAGCAGCTTTCGTTCTTCTTCTGGGTCCATAGGGGCATAATCACGCCTCCGCTGGATATTTGGTCTTGCGCCATTTCTTGCCATTGGCACTCTTCTAATCGCACGCGACGGCTTCGTGTGACCAGAAGCTACGAGAGCCGCTGTGTTTGACGTTTTTAGAGCCGTACTCCCTAGAAGATCAGTCCAGGCGTGTATTCCTCCTATAAGCAGAATCGGAGGTCTCTGTAGTGGCTTATCCGAATTGAACTCGTAAAGCGTATCGAAAAGCCGCTTCAGAGCTACCTCTTGGTCATTTCGAGGAGGTCGGGATAGAAATGCCGTGCTCGCCGTTGATTCGTCGTAGTATACCACTAAGTCATACTCGTTGCGTCGTTCGAACATATTCTGCTCTTCGTCCGGAGAAAGAACTAGGCGGTCTTGTAATTGTTCGGCAGATTTCCCCTCTTCGAGAGCCGTCGGTTCCACGCACATGATATTGTTCACATAAATATGACCTTCATCAAACTCCTCCCGGTCTCGAACATCAATTAGTAAAACACTATGCATCCTCGTGTAATCATACAGCTTTTCAGCGCTGATGTCAAGCTCTCGGGGCACATGTATCGATTTCCGTCGAACCGGTACAGTCGTCTGCGAGTTATTCGCGGATGGAAAATACGAGTCGGTATCACCATTCGTGTTTGGAGGATATGCCGGCACACTAGACGCTAGAGAGTTGCTTCGACCGCCAGATCCAATCATGCTTCGAGCAGTGCTCCGAGGAGGGTTTATGTTCGCAGGAGTTGACAAATTCCTAGCAGGACTATATGTAGGGCTTGGTTCTTTCGGCATCGACGCTGCAAGTTGAGTATTCAGGGGTAACTTTGGTGGATGGGGAGGAGGCACCGAGGGCGGCGGAGGCATATCCCGCGGCCCTGACGGTCGATTGGATGAAGTATATTCTGTAGGAGAAGGCATTTGAGCGGAGAATGCTCCCGCTTTTGGCGAATTGCCTGTATCGATTGCCTGGGGCGTAGGCCTTAAACGACTGAAACGCTCCATGAGGGGGTCCACCGATCCATTGCTTGGTGGCACTCCATTACTTCCCAAAGATCTACCATGCAAATTATGTGGTTTAGGGTGGACAGGCGGCCTGGATCTATGAGAATCGGACGAGCCTGACGGTGACGAGCGGCCATTCGTATAATCGGTTGGCACATCGAGAGATGGACGCTGCGGGAGCATCAACTCATCATCGCGAGAGACTGGTGTCGGGGCGCTTGGCAACGAGTGCCGTATGCTGGACATGTCGTAGTTATTCATTTGTCCGTTTGGCGTTACAGGCCGGTAATTTCGCGACACGTTATCGACGCCTCTTGAAGAAGGGCGTGCGAGAGCGCGACGAATAGGCTGTGTTCCGTTTCTCTTATTATCATTCTGTATTATGTCCTTGATTTTCTCGAATCTCTCCTGGTACAGTCGGATTTCCTCATTCACAGTCAGTGTATTTTTTCGTGTGTGAAGCCTCGCTGTATACCTTCGTCAACTCCTGTAGCTGCCTGTATCTTGGACCCCTGCTGCTCTGAAACTCTATGTATCGAGGATTGGACGGTATGACCTCTGTAAGTACCGTGAAGGCTATCAAGTAATCAAGAAAGGCGCGGTCTGGTCGCCGGCTATGCTGTAGCATCATTTTGGCCGAATTGAAAGCCGCCTGAGCCTTGTCTACTTGGAAAATAATCTATTCAAGGGGTTAGCAACCTCCATAGTTGCCTCTGTGCCAGGAGCAAACGTACCGAAGCACCGCGGAAGGAGTTGACTGTTTCTTGCGCCGTAGCCACGATATCTTGAAAGTAAGGCAGAGCTCCGGAAGGCCCTCTACCATCACTGCCTGCAGCACTGCTTCCCCTCCAGCCCCCTTCGCCCGCGGTGGGCGCGTCATAGCCGTGCCCACTCATGGCGTTCCTCGGACTTGTTGGTGGAGGAGGTGCGGCAACGCTCATGCCCGCTGATTACGATCCAGCAGGCCTGTACATGGTAGAGGTGCAAGGCGGTATAACGGTCGTTTACGGGCGACGATGCGACTCGAAAGCAGGCGGAGAATTGCAGGGAGAGGGGGTCGGGAGGCGGCAGGTGAGGTAGTTCACGGTTCCGCTGGCGGAGAGATCTGCGGGGATGTAAAAGCGCTGCTGGAGGAGCAGAGTTGGGACGTATATATGTGAATGCGGAGAATAGTGCAGAAGATGAGAGACAGGTGTTGTTTGCGTCGCAGCGGGCGTGTGGTCTCCACATCGCAGGCGGGCCTTGTTCCGCAGGTGTTGTGGCGGTGGAGTTGTAGCGGCCCAGTGACGAAGCCGCACAAGCTCTCTCGCCGCCTCATGCCTAAGCTGCGACCTACCTCCCCGATACCTCGCCGTCCGCTGCCAAAGTCCTTTCTCACACCTCCTTGGATCTGTCTTCAAGTTGACTGTGCTACGCCTCCGCTCCTCGTACCCCTCTACAGCTGCACTCTCTTCCTCGCGCCACCCGGAGCCCCTCAGCCACCATGGCGGGCTGGTTTGCGTCCTCCAACTCCGCCCTCGATGAGCAGATCGAGCGCGCGACCTCTTCGAGCTTGTATGTGCTCTGTCTTCGCCAGAGTCACTCATGGACATGTCAAGCTAACCGTGTGCAGAGAGGATATCGCCTTGAACCTCGAGATATCCGACATTATTCGATCCAAGACTGTGCAGCCTAAAGAGGCTATGCGGTCTCTCAAACGACGAATAGGCCACAAGAACCCAAACTTTCAGATCGCGGCCCTCAATGTAAATATCTCACAGCTTCCAGGGTGACGCGGAAGCAACGGAGACTGACATTCACCACAGCTCACAGATACCTGCGTCAAGAACGGCGGTTCTCATTTCATGGCCGAGATCGCATCCCGGGAGTTCATGGACAACCTGACCTCAATACTCAAAGCCTACGGAGCAGCAGAGCCGAACCAGGACGTGAAGAACAAGATTCTGGAGCTCATACAATCGTGGGCCACAGCTGCCGAGGGGCGGAGTAACCTCATCTACATCAACGAAGTCTACCGGACATTGCAGCGCGAGGGCTATAAGTTCCCACCAAAGGCAGATATTGCCAGCAGTATGTTTGATAGTAGTGCGGTAGGTTCTTTTCTTCCCTGGGAATTTCATAGAGCTGTACTGATCAATCTACCGGAGCAGCCTCCGGAATGGACAGACTCTGACGTCTGTATGCGATGTCGAACCGCTTTCACCTTCACAAATCGGAAACATCACTGTAGGAACTGCGGCAACGTCTTTTGTGGGGCTTGTTCAAGCAAGAGCTTGCCGCTACCACATCTGGGGATTATGGAGCCTGTACGGGTGGACGATGGCTGCTATGCGAAGTTGACGGATAAGTCTCGCGGCACTCCAGTACCGAAAGGCTTTGATGCCAGCAAGCCGGCGAAGACACTCTATCAAGGCTCGATGGAACCGCGAAGCGCCCGGGTGGAGGACAGCTTCGATGCCGATCTAAAGAAGGCGCTTGAGATGAGTCTGGAAGAGGTCAATGGACACCAGAAGGGATACGTTCCGCAGGCACAACTACAGCAACAGAATAAGGCCCCTCCAATAAACGGAACCACCAAACCAACTCCTCAGGCTCAACCCCAAGCCGAAGAAGAAGAGGACGAAGAACTCAAGGCCGCGATTGCTGCATCTCTAGCGGATATGGAGGAGCAGAAAAAAAAGCATGCATTGGCACTAAAGCAGCAATCATCTGCGTCAAACGGACTTCCGACAGTTGCGCCTAAGAACGACTTCGAGCTTACCCCTATGGAAGCGGAAAACATTAATCTCTTTTCTACACTTGTTGACCGGTTACAACATCAGCCTCCAGGCACCATATTGCGGGAACCACAGATCCAAGAACTATATGAGGGCATTGGGAAGCTTAGACCCAAGCTAGCGAGAACCTATGGCGAGACAATGAGCAAGCACGGTATGTTTTCTCGCTTGACTCTTTGAGTGGTCTACTAACTTCTAAAGACACTCTTCTGGACCTTCACGCTAAACTTTCTACTGTTGTCCGCTACTATGACCGGATGCTTGAGGAGCGGCTCTCCAATACATATGCCCAGCATGGAGCAGCCTACGGATTACCCCCAAGCATGCAGCGACCGACGTCGAATCTGTATCCTACTATCCAAGCAGGAATGGCAGATAGCCAGGCTGGAGAAAGTTTCTATACTGGAAATGCGGCCTCGTCTGAACCAGCATACGCTCGACCGCAATCTACTTACGCATACCCAACGCCCCAGCAGCAAGCCCTAACCTATGGGCAATTCGACAAGCGGGCTCCGGTATCACAGTACGGCGCACCCTCGCAAGAGCAATCATATCAGCAACCACAGCAGCCCTATCCAAATCTGTCAGCATACAGTGGTGGGCCGATCGCGCAACAGCAGCGACCAGCCAGTACGACCTATCAACAACAGCAAGCTCCTAGTGAGGGTTCGCCTCATATGCAGCGCCGAGTCTCTTCTCAGCAATACCCGTCTCAGCCGGCCACCCAATATGCGCCTTCGCAGCCTTCCGCTCCAGATGATGCAACCGCGTCGTACTACTACGGCGACCAAGCGCCATTGCAACCCTCGGCGCCTCAGCAAGAGACTTACGCACCCACGCCCCTACTTCAACACCAGAAGCCAGCCTCTCCCCAACAATCACCATTATCACCACCGCAAGTCTCTCAGCCGCTCCCAACACCACAAAATCCTCCGTATCCCTCCCAAGCCGCCCCATCCACGTCCTACTGGCAACAGCCAGACACAGTATCCGCACCGCAGCAACAAGGTCCAACGCAGACATTTCAACAACAAACTCAACCGCAAGCTGCTCCAGCTCCAGCTCCATCCCAGCCACCTGCCGCTCAAGCCCCGCCACAGCAACACCAGCAGCAACAAACTTACTGGCAGCCTCCCGCCCAACAGCAGCGTGCGCCGCCCGCACAAGCTGCGGTACAATGGCAGCCACCGCCTTTTGCGACTGGTGGTTACGGTCCGGAGAGCTTCCCGGCGGCACCACAACATCAGTTACCTGTCGCGCCGAAGGTAGAGGAGGCCTTAATTGAGCTGTAGGTTTTAGTTGATCGTTGAATGAATCTTTTGGGGAGCTAGTTTGCGTGCTTACAGGGGTCGGCGTCTTTATTCTGTCTGGGGTATGAATCGTCTATAACTGCACCACGGTTTGGTAGGTCGGTGGGTCGGTAGTCAATCATTGCTTGCGCTTGCATTTGGTTGAGGCGTTCTGATTCAAACGGGTCGGAGGGTGGGTAGTCTTTATGCCTCCCAGGACGGTTTGTCGCATTTTGCTGCTTTTCGAGGTGCCAGACTGGCCACGGGAGAGGAGGGGACGGGAAGACAGAGCGCAGCATTAGGTAGATTGAATGGCCAGTCGTGGTTTGTATAGACAGAGTGTGTAAGAGTCAATTTTCGAAACCTCATAACGATGGTGAGCTGTTTCTGCCTGCTTTTTCGTTTCTTCGATTGCCAGAGACAAATCCAAATAAACTTTTCCTATGTCCCTCTCTCTCGGCCACCCATCCGGTAGCAAGACAGTATCATCAACGTGGCACCCCGCCCCGAACACCGAACAAAAGCTCTTTTACCTCTACCTCACCATCTCCCATCCAAACCTCCCCAAGCAAGGAATATCATCATACCTACCCCACGCCAACCCGATCAACCCCTTCACTTCTTCCCCTCCCATCCCTTCCCCTCCCATCCCCCAACGAGATCAACCGCCCTCCTCACATCTCCCGTCCTCACTTCCTTCCCCTTCCTCTCCACCAGCGCTTGTTGCAGAACCGCCCACGCATCCTCCTTCCGTCCCCTCGTCTTCTCGCTCAACTCGCTCAACGCCCTCACAAAACTTCCACTCCACTCCTCCGGCCCGAGTTCCCTCCTCTCGTCCCCCCTCTCCAACCGCTCCACCAATATCTCATCCGCCGTGACGTCGAGCACCGCGCTCGCCCACCCCGGCGGCGGCGGCCGATTCGTCGGGTTCCGCACGACGACGCCGTCCGCGTGCAGCGTGTACTTCAGAACGGGTATCGGGTTGAAGGGGGTCGAGTAGGCGCCGTGGTCGATGCGGTACAGGAGGGCGATGTGGGAGATGTCGTTTTGCGAGAGGAGGGGGGCGCGCCAGGTGGTTGTTGGAGTGGTGGGGGTGAGGTGGGGAGGGAGGATGCGGGAGAGGTGGGAGGTGGTCCAGTTGCGGCGGATGTCGCCGAGGAATTCGGTACGGTGGTTGGGGGTGGGTGCGGCGGAGGACTTGGTTGTAGAGGGGATGGCGGGGTGGAGGGGAGTGGATTGATGGGTTGTTGTGGATGGGGCGGAGGGCTTGATTGTTGGGGAAATTTCGTCTTGGAGGAGTCTGGCGCGGTGCTTTGTTGTGGATGGGTTGGAGGACATGGTCGTCGAGGTGAAGCTTTGGTGTGAGTGTTTCGCGCGGTGGTTTGGGGTGGATGGGTTGGAGAGTATGGTTAGAGAGGGGATAGTTTGGAGTGGATGTTTCGCGCGGCGGGATGGGGTGGATGTGGTGGCGGCCATAGTTGCAGAGGTGATGTTTTGGTTTGGGTGACTTGTTGTGGGAGACTCAACTCTAACGACGTCGAGAGCGTGAGGCACGTGCGGTAGAGATTAAGTGAGCGGAGAGCACGTTATGTGAACCTAATCAGATTATTTTTGAGCAGCCCTCCAACGTAGCAAGCGGCTTGAGTAAGGCAGTCAGCCCTGGTGGGTGCAGGCTTATGCGTTGCCTATCACCGAGGGTTCGATTCCCGAAGTGAGAGGACCGGAAAACATGTATTTGCACTCGATAAGAGGCTGCATGGGCTTCGGAGTGGAGGCGGACCAATCCTGAAATAGTTAATCAATGGGGTCCGCTGTAACGGTCAGGTTGGGGGCCGTATGAAAGGTAAGTCGTAGTTTAGTTATTTTTTCTTTTTCGGCTGTAAAGTAGTGGAATTAAAGAAGGGCGCTGCTAAATGTACACCCTATATTTACTCGGTGTACACCCCTTTTCTACTCCGTATACACCCTTCTTACGTCTAATCTTCTAATTAGTCCGGAGGAGTGCTCCGGGGCCTCCGATTCGCTCGCTTACGTTTCTCACTAATTCCAAATGCTCTCTCCAAGTGCGGCGTGGCCACAAAGCATTACATCCTGATCCT